TCTAGGCCACCTGACTGGATCATTCAAATGGTATAATCAATGGTACATGTGCGTGTACAATGAATAAGGAAGTATACGCAAAGAAATTCGTAATGGTGTGAATTTTTTGAATAATGGGACCTCAAAATACCAATGGCTAAAATTGAAGAGAGAATTTTTCAATTTAAACAAAGATATATATCTGTGCTTGATATACTATGCCCCCAAAAGCCAAACAGACCTATTGGAGAATGAAGAAAAGGATATAACTGATAGTTTTGGGTCTATGGGGGACATCCTGCTAGTAGGGGATCTTAATGCCAGAACTGGCTCAGAAAAAGACTATATTGATGGTGACAGCACCTCCCATGTTCCTATATTTGATGAAAATTATGATATAGACTGTTTTGCAGATGAAAGGGTCAGTAAAGATTTAATAACAGATTCCAAAGGGAAAAACTTGCTAGAATTTTGTATAGGTAATCAATTACGTATCTTGAATGGGCGTATGTGTGGTAATAGCAACGGTAAATTTACATGTTTTGAACATATAAAGTCAAGGATAAAAGAGATAAAGAGTAAACTTGAACTATTAGAAAATAAAAACTTTGGATTCAGTGAAATTGACTTTAAAATTACCCCTGGTGAACTTCAAAAAGCCCTGAGGCAATTAAAATCTGGGAAAAGTCCAGGTTTAGACACTATTACAAATTAAATGTTAAAAGTTTCACAGAGTTATATGCAAGATTGCTTACTTAAACTTTTTAATGCCATACTTCTATCTGGCATTTATCCCAGCAAATGGTCTGAGAGTTACATTACTCCTATATTCAAATCTGATAACCAACAGAACCCTGAAAATTACAGAGGTATTGCCATCAATAATGGTCTTGGCAAACTTTTCAATACCATTCTGTATAACAGACTTGATAAATTTCTATCTGATAATAATATCATAAATAAAACTCAAATTGGTTTTTCTAAGAAAGCACGCACTTCGGATCACACTTTTGTACTAAAGAGTCTCATAGAAAAATATGTTAAAAGAGGCAAAGGTAAATTATATGTATGCTTTGTAGATTTTCGCAAGGCCTTTGATATGGTTATTTATATTGGTATATAATACAAATTATTACAACATACAAATAATGGTATTTTTTATAACATATTGAAATCTATGTATAGTAATGACAAAGTGTGTGTCAAAGTAGAAGACAAAATAACTGATTTTTTTAGATATAATGTTGGTGTACGACAAGGTGACGTTTTGAGTCCCACATTTTTAAAACTATTTATTAATGATTTGCCAGATATATTGTCAAACAATTATGATACTGTCAATTTAGATAATGAAAAGATACCATGTCTACTATATGCTGATGATCTTGTATTAATATCTGACTCAAAAGAAGGGCTTCAGAAGAGACTTGATACTTTGTGCACATTCTGCAAAGATTGGTGTATGGAAATAAATGTGAAGAAAACAAAGATTATTATATTCAATAGGAGTGGTAGACTCCTTAATGACGATTTCAATGTAGGAAATAATTCTATCGAATGTGTTAAACAATACAAATATCTTGGCATAGTCATCCAAAATACTGGAAACTTTAATGAAGCCAGGGAAACAATTATTCCAAAAAGGTCAAAAGGGCAGTTTTAAACTTTATAAAGATTTGAAATCATCAAATCCTCCAATTAAAACTCTTTTGCATTTATTTGATCATTGTATACAGCCAATTGTTACGTATGGTTGTGAAAATTGGTGTGTTATTAACATTACTCCGAAAAGGAAAAAATTATCCCTTTATGACATATTTAAAGATTGGGAGTTTGAGAGGCTAAATTTAAAATTTTGCAAGTATATTATTGGTATTACAAAGATGTGCACAAATGTAGCAGTCCTGTCTGAACTGGGTAGATATCTTCTTTATATAAATTTGCTAACATATATGTTTATGTATTGGCATAGACTAGAGAATTCCCCAAATGATTTATTGAAAAGTGCTTATGCTGAGTTAAAAATGATTGAGAGTAAAGCTCCAACTAGCTCCAATAAGTCATGGCTCTCTTATATCATTTTCTACAGCGAAAAATTGGGTATTGACCTAAATATATGTAAAAATTTATGCAAAAATAAATTTAAAAATTTCCTAAAAAAACAGCTCAAATTAAATTTTCAAAATGATTGGGAGAAAATGCGAGATTTTTATTTACAGAATCAAGGCAAACTGGACACTTATTTTTCATTCAAGAGGTCATTTGACTATGAAAATTATTAAGATTTAAAGCACCCCCAAAAACATTTGTTTACAGAATACAAACTCAGCAATCACTGTTTAAAAATAGAAACTGGCAGACATGAACGATTTATCAATGTATGTGGTAAATATGAAATATTTCCTCGACATGAGAGGATATGTTTATATTGTAATTCAAATTCTATTGAAAATGAAATGCACTTTCTTCTGGAATGCCCTCTTTACAATAACCTCAGAAGAGATATGACTGATTATATCAAAAAATACCCCAGTTTAGTTAATTTAAACAGAAATGATCTTTTTACATGAATCATGAGTAATGAAGATAGCAGTTTTTTATCTATTTTATGTGCATACCTTGACAAAGGCCTGCAACTTAGAAAATCAGAAAATTAGTTAAAACTCTAATAGATAGCAAAATTATCTCCCCTTGACCACTGACCCTTTCCTCATGCATTTGAACTATTATTTTATGTTTCTTTAATCACTCTGTAATGTTTATGTCATGTTGTTATTAATGTTATGCTCTTAGTGGGCCCTTTAATTTAGAAAAATAAAAATATTGTATTGTATTGTATTCTATTGTAGTCTTTGTTAGATGGGCCTTTAAATAGATTTATCTTTGTTAGCTACCCATTGAAAGAGCACTGCTAGTTACGGAGCGATAAACAAAGGCGATTGAAAAACCTGTAAGACTTGTTTATAATATAAAAAATTCGTAAGGGTTCCGCGGAACCCAGTGTCTCGCCTACTTTTTCTGTTAATCGCAGGCTCAACAAAAATGAGGAAATAAATCAATAAAAATATTCCTCTTGATACTATCTTTTGATTGTAAGAAGCTTTTGTCCAAGTTTGGTAAAAATCCAGGATAGTTTATGAATCTAATAAATGTTTAAAAACTTTAACTGCAGACTGAATGTAATGTTAACTGGAAGAAAACAAAATTCCCTTCTAGATACTAGCATTTGATCATAAACAAGCTTCTGTCCAAGTTTGGTACAAATCCAAAATAGTATAAGAAAGTTATTAAAATTTTAAAAAGTTTAACCACAGAGTGAATGTGTTGTTTCTTGGCAGAAAATTTAAGTCCATTTAAAAGTAAAATACGGAAAAAAAGGATTTATTTTTTTTTTAAATTTCCTTCTAGATACTAGCTTTTGATCATATAGAAGCTTCTGTCCAAGTTTGGCACAAATCCAAAATAGTATAAGAAAGTTATTAAATTTTTAAAAACTTTAACCACAGAGCGAATGTGTTGTTTCCTGGCAAAAAATCTAAGTCCATTTAAAAGTAAAAAAAAGGAAAAAATGGATTTATTTTTTTACAAAATTTACTACTGGATACTATCTTATGATCATAAAGAAGCTTCTGTCCAAGTTTGGTACAAACCCAGGATAGTTAAAGAAAGTTATTAAAATTTTAAAAACTTTAACCACAGAGTGAAACTAAGTCCATTTATGAGTAAAATACGGAAAAATGGAATTTTATTTTTACAAAATTTACTTCTGGATGCTATCGTATGATCAAGATAGTTTAAGAAAGTTATTCAAATTTCAAAAACTTTAACCACAGAGTGAATATTTTTGGACGCCGCCGCCGCCGACGACGACGACGACGGAATGTAGGATCGCTATGTCTCGCTTTTTCGACTAAAGTAGAAGGCTCGACAAAAAGAAGATGTGGTATTATTGCCAATGAGACAACTCTCCACAAGAGACAAAATGACACAGAAATTAACAGCTATAGGTCACCGTACGGTCTTCAACAATGAGCAAAGCCAATACCGCATAGTCAGCTATAAAAGGCCCCGAAATCACAAATGTAAAACAATTCAATCGAGAAAACTAACGGTCTGATTAATCTACAAAAAAATGAACGAAAAACAAATATGTAACACAACAACAAGTTTATTTTAAACTAATAAATGAGTGCATCTTACAAGGCTTAGAAAATTTGTATTATGAAGTCAAGCTTTTCTATTTGGTTTACTATGAATTGAATTTAATAACTTGGTAAAATAGTTATAATTGAAAAGTTGTCTTCTTATATTTCAGAATGAGGTCATCAAAGGGGGCATATATACGTGTAACATGTGATATTTTTCACCAGTGGCAGATCCAGGACATATAGACGTGTAACATATGATATATTTCACCAGTGGTAGATCCAGGACTTTATATACGTGTAACATGTGATATCTTTCACCAGTGGCAGATCCAGGACTTTATATACTTGTAACATATGATATCTTTCACAAGTGGTAGATCCAGGACTTTATATACGTGTAACATATGATATCTTTCACCAGTGGTAGATCCAGGACTTTATATACGTGTAACATATGATATCATTCACCAATGGTAGATCCAGGACTGTATATACGTGCAACATATGATATCTTTCACCAGTGGCAGATCCAGGACTTTATATACGTGTAACATATGATATCTTTCACCAGTGGCAGATCCAGGACTTTCATAACGGGAGGAGGATACAAAGGAGTAGATTAAAAAAAAACAGGCGGTCAAAAATTTAAAAAAAGAAATGAACTAAAAACACATATTTTTTACATAAGATCAGTGCATCCCTGATACGCCCATGTTCACGAAAATCTACAATAATATTTTTTTCTCATAAAGGTCATTTAATGTAACACACAAATATAGATTTTACGATACTTAAATTACTGTTTGAATAATGAAAAGTAAAAGAAAAAAATACCGAACTATATATGTATTTAACAGAACTAACTAAAATTACCTTTAAAAATAGTCCTATTGGTTAAAAATAATTTCCATTTTCGTTTCCTTTATAAACATTACCGATTGTCGACAAGTCATTTCAACATACGGGTATCTAGTATGTAATACAATACCAATCAATGCAATGCAATATATGTTTATTGAACCAATAACAAAAGATCAACTTTAATACTGTTTTGTACGAAAACGTATTAGCGCCATGCAAACTTGTTTTATGTTTCTGCCTATGTCAGCGTTTACTTATAACGCGAACCTTTACGATATAACGCAAACATTTGAGTGATCTAATTTTTTTATTTAAATTTCAAGGGTAGCAGTTGTTAAAAATGGAGGAAGTAATGTGAGGAAGCTGCATGCATTAATTTTTATCACTCCTCGCACTTATTGCAAAGTGAAATGCTAGAGTGTTAAGCACATAATCATGGCATAATAATGAGAGACCAAAGAAAATTGGGTGAATTGAAGTATGAGTACGTTAATCTGAGAAGTATGGGTCCGTTAATCTAAGAAGTATGAGTACGTTGATCTGAGAAGTATGGGTACGTTAATTTAAGAAGTATGAGTACGTTGATCTAAGAAGTATGAGTAGGTTAATCTGAGAGGTATGGGTCCGTTAATCTAAGAAGTATGAGTACGTTGATCTAAGAAGTATGAGTAGATTGATCTCAGAAGTATGGGTCTGTTAATCTAAGAAGTATGAGTACGTTAATCTAAGAAGTATGGGTACGTTGATCTGAGAAGTATGGGTCCGTTAATCTAAGAAGTATGAGTACGTTGATCTGAGAGGTATGGGTCCGTAAATATAAGAAGTATGGGTCCGTTAATCTAAGAAGTATAAGCACGTTAATCTAAGAAGTATGAGTACGTTGATCTGAGAAGTATGAGTACGTTAATCTAAGAAGTATGAGTATGTTGATCTAAGAGGTATGAGTACGTTAATCTAAGAAGTATGAGTACGTTGATCTGAGAAGTATGAGTACGTTAATCTAAGAAGTATTGGTACATTAATCTAAGAAGTACGAGTACGTTGATCTGAGAAGTATGAGTACGTTGATCTGAGAAGTATGGGTATGTTAATCTAAGAAGTATGTGTACGTTGATCTAAGAAGTATGAGTACGTTAATCTAAGAAGTATGGGTCTGTATGATCTGAGAAGTATGGGTGCGTTAATCTAAGAAGTATAAGTACGTTGATCTGAGAAGTATGAGTTCGTTAATCTGAGAAGTATGGGTACGTTAATCTAAGAAGTACGAGTACGTTGATCTGAGAAGTATGAGTACGTTGATCTGAGAAGTATGGGTATGTTAATCTAAGAAGTATGTGTACGTTGATCTAAGAAGTATGAGTACGTTAATCTAAGAAGTATGGGTCTGTATGATCTGAGAAGTATGGGTGCGTTAATCTAAGAAGTATAAGTACGTTGATCTGAGAAGTATGAGTTCGTTAATCTGAGAAGTATGGGTACGTTAATCTAAGAAGTACGAGTACGTTGATCTGAAAAGTATGAGTACGTTGATCTAAGAAGTATGAGTACGTTGATCTAAGAAGTATGCGTACGTTGATCTGAGAAGTATGAGTACGTTGATCTGAGAAGTATGGGTCCGTTTATCTCAGAAGTATAAGTACGTTGATCTAAGAAGTATGAGTACGTTAATCTGAGAAGTATGGGTCCGTTAATCTAAGAAGTATGAGTACGTTGATCTAAGAAGTATGAGTACGTTCATCTGAGAAGTATGGGTCCGTTAATCTAAGAAGTATGAATAGGTTGATCTAAGAAGCATGGGTCCGTTAATCTAAAAAGTATGAGTACGTTGATCTAAGAAGTATGAGTACGTTGATCTGAGAAGTATGGGTCCGTTAATTCAAGAAGTATGCGTACGTTGATCTAAGAAGTATGAGTGCGTTGATCTAATAAGTAGGAGTACGTTGATCTGAGAAGTATTGGTCCGTTAATCTAAGAAGTATGAGTAGGTTGATCTAAAACGTAAGGGTCCGTTAATCTAAGAAGTATGAGTACGTTGATCTAAGAAGTATGAGTACGTTGATCTGAGAAGTATGGGTACGTTAATCTGAGAAGTATGGGTCCGTTAATCTAAGAAGTATGAGTACATTGATCTAAGAAGTGTGAGTACGTTAATCTGAGAAGTATGAGTACGTTGATCTAAGAAGTATGAGTACGTTGATCTGAGAAGTATGGGTACGTTAATCTAAGAAGTATGAGTACGTTGATCTCAGAAGTATGAGAACGTTAATCTGAGAATTATGGTTCCGTTAATCTAAGAAGTATGAGTACGTTGATATAAGAAGTTTGAGTACGTTGATCTGAGAGGTATGGGTCTGTTAATCTAAGAAGTATGAGTGCGTTAATATTAGAAGTATTGGTACGTTGATCTGAGAAGTATGGGTCCGTTAATCTAAGAAGTATGAGTACTTTAATCTAAGAAGTATGAGGACGTTAATCTAAGAAGTATGAGTACGTTGATCTGAGAAGTATGAGTACGTTAATCTAAGAAGTATGAGTACGTTGATCTGAAAAGTATGGGTCCGTAAATCTAAGAAGCATGGGTCCGTTAATCTAAGAAGTATGAGTACGTTAATCTAAGAAGTATGAGTACGTTGATCTGAGAAATATGAGTACGTTAATCTAAGAAGTATGAGTACGTTGATCTGAGAAGTATGAGTACGTTAATCTAAGAAGTATGGGTACGTTAATCAAAGAAGTACGAGTATGTTGATCTGAGAAGTATGAGTACGTTCATCTGAGAAGTATGGGTATCTTAATCTAAGAAGTATTAGTACGTTGATCTAAGAAGTATGAGTTCGTTGATTTAAGAATTATGAGTACGTTGATCTAAGAAGTATGAGTACGTAAAATCTAAGAATTATGGGTCTGTTGATCTGAGAAGTATGGGTCCGTTAATTTAAGAAGTATGAGTACGTTGATCTGAGAAGTATGAGTACGTTAATCTAAGAAGTATGGGTACGTTAATCTAAGAAGTACGAGTACGTTGATCTGAAAAGTATGAGTACGTTGATCTAAGAAGTATGGGTACGTCGATTAGAAGTATGGGTACGTTAATCTAAGAAGTATGCGTACGTTGATCTAAGAAGTATGAGTACGTTGATCTTAGAAGTATGAGTACGTTGATCTGAGAAGTATGGGTCCGTTAATCTAAGAAGTATGAGTACTTTGATCTAAGAAGTATTGGTACGTTGATCTGAGAAGTATGAGTACGTTAATTTAAGACGTATGAGTACGTTGATCTGAGAAGTATGGGTCCGCTTATCTAAGAAGTATGAGTATGTTGATCTAAGAAGTATGGGTAGGTTAATCTAAGAAGTATCAGTACGTTAATCTAAGAAGTATGGGTCTGTTGATCTGAGAAGTATGGGCCTGTTGATAAATATAAGTTTTATAATATTGACTTTTAGAAATGTTGATTACATGTGCCAATTTAAGAATCAAATCGATGGTCTCGTGTAAGTGTGCTCTCTTCGAGAGCGGGGATCATTTGTTTGATCGCTGTCTGGGTAAAAGTAAAAACTTGAACATTTGTATTTGCTGCTTCTCCGCTAAGAAGGAGGATTTAGTAAAGAAGGTTAGTCGGGTCGGAGTCAAACAAATGTGTCAGTATAGGGGAATGTGTTTTCTTGCGGTTTGTTGCCTTTGAAATATATGAAAATAAGAAGATGTGGTATGATTGCCTATTAGACAACTCTCCACCAAGAACCAAATGATATAACATGCTATTAATAAGGCTCAGCATGTCGATCATATACACAGCAGGGTTTAGATGCATATATCAATGACATTTATGTTTAACTGGTAATATTGTTGTAACATTGAAATTATTTGAACAATTACCAAATATATTCTTACAGACTATCTGAGTTGTATATAAACAAAAACTTCGTCGCAGGTACCGGTATGACAAGCAGTATTTATCATTTAAATGTTTTCAACGCCCCAACAGTGATTCTGAACTGAATATAAAACTTGTCGAAACAAAAGAAGATGATTTAAAGATTATTCTTTTTAACACGGGCTACTTTAGTCTTAATTGCGGGAATTTGATATAAAACTCTGACAGGCACGATTTAATTATAAAGATACAAGGTTGAATATCATAGTTGCTTGATTCATAATTTATTTAAGATATATTATCAGTAAGCCGTAGGGTACACACTTTACTTTATCTTAATCTTTTGTTATCTATCAATATACTAAGCTAATAAGTGATTGTTTTGGTATGTGAGAAAAATAACATATAACATGAGGCAAGAAAGAGGAAAATACCGCTGCGATTTTCAAATTTCTTAACAAGGACGATGTATCTATATAGGGAGTTAATTTTGTCGTTTTCATTTTCTTCAAATTAAAATTAAAAGACAAACAATATTTAAAAAGAAAAAAAACAAAATTGAACACTACAAATAAAGTAATACGCACTCAACCGAAATCCTTTATACCTCCAGAAAAATGAAGGACAACATGGTGGCTTTGACAAACGGAACAAACGTGTGTCCATCTACGACACAGATGGTCTATAACGGTCCAATCATTTCAAAAAATCGATATTGATTACATACATACATAGAAACTCATACAACATCTTCTTATGTCTATATATAGAAAATTGTCATTTGTTAAAGGGGAATAAAACAATGAAAGCCAAGCAAACATCCAACTTAAGAAAATAGGAATTTCCAGCATTTGTATTTCCCGATGTTTGTAGTCAATGAACGATTTTCAAATCAAAGACTTGTTGTTTTATTTAGCATATAGTTGAATCCCTGTACAATTCAAATCACGCAGATATTCCCACAGTTGCCCATACTTCTAGTTAATTCGAGAAAAATTAGTTAATAAGTACATATTATTCCGCTTCGATTTTTCATTTAATTATCAACAATCTCCAAACATATTAGAGAGTACTGTATATTGCATGGTTACATGTTTGAAAATATTTTTCAAACCTTCATGCAGATATTTTAGGAGGGGACGAATTTCGTAAGTTAACACTCTATGGAGACTTTGTACTTACAAATAATGTCTTTAAAAAATAAACTTTTAATTTCCAATCAAAAGTCCCTCCATGAAAACTAATAT